CATCCTTGCCAACATTTTTTTTTGTCATATGTTTTCTTAGCCATTCTAATTAGGGTAAGATGAAACCTCAAAAATAGTTTTAATTTGCATTTCACTGATATTTTAAAAAATAAAACATAATTGCATCATTTCCCCCTTTCCTCTTTCCAAACCTTATGTCTCCCACTACTTTTCAAATTTATGACCTTTTTAATTTGACTATTGTTGGTATATATGAACAATACATGTAACATTTACACACATACATACACACACACACACACACACACACACACACACACACACACACACCACCTCCTGAGTCTTTGTAGTGCTTGTTTGTATGTATATGATTTAAGAGCTGATTACTTGGTATTGGGTAACCAATTAGGGTTCTCATCCCCTGAGAAGACTAATTCTCCCTCTCTCAGCAGCCATTACTTGCCTTGTTCTTTGTCTAGGGGTGAGGCCTCTTGATATTTCCCCATTCCATACTAGCATGTGTATTGGTGTCACTTTTTTAAGTCATGGGTAGGCAGCCATGTTGTTGTGGTTTCATGGGTGATGCTTCCTTGTGATTTCTGAGACAAACCTCATAACAGGATTCCTGGTCTTCTGGCTCTTACAATCTTTCCACCTTTCCTTCAAAGTTCCCCGAAAAGCGCAGAAGTTGAATAGAAGTTGTATGTGTATCCACTGTTTCCCACAACTCCATGACAGTTGTTCTTTATATTTTGGCCAGTTGTAGTTTTCTGTAATGGTCTCAGTAGGCTGCAAAGAAAAATTTCTTTGGTGAAGGGTGGGAGCCACACTTACCTGTGGGTATAGGATAAGTATTGAGAATACAGTTAGGAATTATGTTGGTCTAATAAAGTGGCAGTAGTGATTTCCCCTGTAAGTTACATGACTTTACTAGCCCCTGGTAGTTAGCTAGTTTTCCAGTACTAGGCATGATTGATTTCCCTCCTGTTTAGCAGACATTAAGTCCAGCCAGTACAGTGATTTTAAATCTTCCTAATGCTTTGACCCTTTAATACAGTTCTTCATATTGTGGTGACCTCCAACCATAAAATTATTTTTTGTTGCCACTTCATAACTGAAATTTTGCTAGGAATTGTAATGTAATTTGTTAGGAATTATAATGTAAATATCAGTATTTCCTGATGGTCTTAGGCGACCCCGGAGAAAGGGTCACTACACTCCTAAAGGGGTTACAACCCACAGGTTGAAAAGATTTTAGAGTTGCTATTGTACCTTTAGGGATATCTTGCTGTACTGGTCATTACTGTAGTAGAATTATTATACAGCTGGGCAGAAGTATTCATTGTATTTCTCTTTTGATTGATTGGTATGAAATCTCTCCTCAGGGAGGCAGCTTTGATGACAGGTCCATCTTAATTCTTCTGAGTCTTATGTCCAAAGCACATGATGTGCTTATAAATAGGGACGTACCTTCATCTTCTAAAAGGCAACTAAGGACTGTAGCCATAGCTGATATTGATTTGGGAGTCTCTGAACTTCCCTGACTAATGATGCTGAAGAAAGTTTCTCATGCCTAGGCCTGGGATGTTTTTTTAAATGTTTCTCAGCCATTTGTATTTCATTCTTTGAGAACTCACTATTTAGTCACATGCCTCACTTTTAAATTTGATTGTTTTATTGATGTGTAGGTTTTTTGAGTTCTTTGTATGTTATAGATAATAACCTGTCAGACATATGGCTAGTAAATATTTTTTGCCATTCTGTAGGCTACCTCTTCACTTGAGTGGTGGTATCCTTTGCTGTACAGAAGCTTTTTAGCTTCCATTGATGAATAGGTCCCATTGATGAATTGTTGGTCTTAAAGCTTACCCTATCAGAGTCCTATTCAAAAAGTTATTTTCTATGCAAATGAACTTGAGCATATTCCCATTTTTCTCTTTGATCCAATTTGAGGTTTCAAGTCTTATATTAAGGTCTTGTATCCATTTCCAGTTGAAGTTTGTGCAGGGTGAGAGATGTGGATCTAGTTTCATTTTTCTATGTGCAGCTATCCACTTGACCTCCATCAGTTGTTGAAGATGCTATCTTTTCTCTAATGTGTATTGTTGGCCTTTTTGCCAAAAATCAACTACAAGTGTGGATTTACATATAGTCCTCAATTCTAATGCATTGATCAATGTGCCTGTTTTTTTTTAATTCCAGTGCTATGCTGTTTTTATTATTATATCTCTGAGGCATAACTTAAAATTAGGGATGGTGATACCTCTGTGTCCTTTTGTATCCTGGGTCTTCTGTGTTTCAACATGAAATTTAAGTTTTTTTTCAATTTATGTGAGGAATTGTGCTGGGATTTTGGTGAGGGATGTGTTGAATCTGTGACTTGCTTTTGTAGGATGGGCATTTTCACAATGTTAATACTGCCAATCCATGATCAGGATTAATGTCTTTCCATCTTTTAGTATCTTCTCAGATTTCCTTTTTTGGTTGTTAAGGTTTTCATTGTGCACATCTTCTACTTCCTTGGTTAGATTTACCCTAAGATTTTTTTTGAGGTTATTGTGAATTGAATTTTCATCAATTTCATTCTCAGTATTCTTGTCATTTGTGTGTAGGGAGTCTACTAATGTTCATGTTAATTTATATCCTGCTACTCTGCTGAGAGTCTTTTTCAATGTAGGAGATTACTAAGGGAAGATTTAGGTCTTCTGTGTATAGAATCACACTACCTGCAAATAGGGATAGTTTGACTTCTTCCTCAGTTTCACATATGAATTCATGGCAGTTGAGACAACATTGCACAAGACCTGTGCAGGCTCAAGCCAGACAAAACACCAGCATGGGGAGGAGATATGATCACAGAGTCCCATCTGTAGCTAAAGAGCGGTTGGCAATGGATAGCCACACACAGATTTGTTTTTTTCCAGTGTCAGGAAAAAGTACATATAAGTACAAATCTATCTGTCTAGAACTGCACCCACCCCTTGAGACAAACTTCTGGATCTTTCTAACAGTGAGCACTGTCTTCTACTTGTGGTAGCTCCTATCATCTTTCTCCTCTGCTCCATGATGATTAGACTCACACCTATCTGACTCACTTAATGTGACATTAACACCATAAATCATTGTTGATGTCAAGATAGCATATTGATCTGTACCAAATCAAGATCTCTGCTGTTTCCATCCATTCTCTCCATGCACTGCCTCAACTCAGAGCCTTAGTACTTATACATTTTCTTTTCACAAAACTGTCACTTGCACAGCCTCAACCTTCTTGGTATGGGAACCTCCATTAGTGAAGAAAAGGCCACATAGGAAGCAAAGAATATTGCTTGGATTTGGAAACTGATTAAAGGATACACTGGCTCATCTCTCCCTATAGTGTATGAAATGAGGGAATAGCTACTAAAGACCTTCCTCAGAGAAGTTTCTAAGAGTTGAGTTGGTGATGGATACTTAAATATTAATCATAGAAAAAGAGCTGGATACCTAAAGCCACGATGTTGGGCAGCCAGTGGTCATACAAGGTTTAAGGAGAAAATCTAATTCAGCTATGGTAACTCACTGAGCATTTACACAAGATGGGGGGCAGGCACAATGTGCAGCCGAGGTTTTACAGATATCAAGAAGGGGATTTTTATGGATTCATGTTATGCTTATCAGTGGATATTTTAAAAACAATTTTATTAAGTCTGTGAGAATTAATTTTGTACAATGTATTTTCATAATATTCACCCCCAACTCCTCCTTTCAATTTCACCCAGATCTGCCTCTACCATCTACTGAACAAACACTTTAGGCCACTTAGGCTGACATGCTCCCCACAAAGCCATAGACTAACAAAACCCTTAGTACTAGGCACAGGAAACCTTCTTTCCAATGGTTGATCAAGGTAGTCCAAGTGATCGCTAAGATAATAGAGACTACCAGTGGAGACCTTGGGTCTGCCCCTACTATGGAGACACTGCATATGCAGGACAAAAGACTCAGAGGACTTGAGCTGGATCTGACCTGAAAGCCACTTTCCTGTGGTCTAGTCCCCATGGCAGCAGAAAATATTATGCAAGTTGCAAAGATAGGGAAGCAATTAAACATTTCTACCCAGCTGAAATGTCTATGAGTCACGACAATGACCAGAATGACAAGATATCCACAAAAGGGCAATAAGTGGCGCTCACAGGGGCAATCACAAAGGAATTGAGGTGAGCTAGAGAGAATGGTTGAAAGGGGCAGCAGGGAAGAGTTAGGGGTACCTTGGGTCTACACTCCAAGGCCAAGTCTCAAGGGGATGGTGGTGGACTTAGAGAAGGGGCTGGGGTAGGCAGGCAACTGAAGTTCTAAGAGCTGCCTGGAGAGACCAGACTGGAGGAAGGAAAGAGGTTACCTGAGACCCAGCCAAGTATGATGGCCATGGACTCCTGGTGGAGAGAGGTTATGTAGGTCAGTGGGGAGCCACAAAAGAGTCTGTTCACAATACTTAATCATCAGAGAAATGCAAATTAAAATTACTTTGATAGCTTATCTTAGCTCAGTTGGAATGACTAAGATTCAGCCAACAAATGCTGACAGGGATGTAGGAATGGGACCCCCGAGCACTGTTGCTAGGAGTGCAAATTATCTATGGATAATGTTAACCAATTAATGAAATCCATCTCTAAATTGAGTGGCAGTAGTAGTCTGTTCTTTGCACTCAAATGGAATGTCAGAGAACTAAAATAAACATGGACTGGCAGGTTTAAGAATAATCTATAAACATATTTTGAAAGCAAATGAGTAAGAAAATAAAGATGTCTCCCGCCCCCCCCCCCGAATTCTAAGATGAAGCCTATAGGCATACGGCAATGAAAAAGCATCCCCCAAATGAAATTTTATCTAGACTATCTAGGCTCCTGTTGACAATTCTTTATTTTTTTATTTTAATTTTCCTTTGCATGTGATTGTGTGTTGATTTTCTGATGACAGCTGCTGTATTCTATTCCCCTGGACAGGAGGAAGAAGGAGGAGGAGGAGGAGGAGGAG